TCTCCAGAGAGCTAAGATCACTCTAAACGACAAGTGTGAATTTTCACAGCCATCAATCAAGTTTCTCGGGCACATTGTGAACAACACAGGCCTCAAAGTAGATCCAGCAAAAGTGGACGCCATTCGAAAGTTTCCTCAGCCCAAGAACGTCACTGAGTTACAACGCTTTCTGGGCATGGTGAACCAGATGGCAAAATTTTCTCCTAACTTGGCTACTGCAACTGAACCTCTGCGAGCATTGCTCAAAAAAGACTCATTGTGGACCTGGGGAGAACATCAAGAGGCATCTTTTCAATGTACCAAAGATGGCCTCACCACAACACCAATACTGGCACACTATTCGCCTGACCGTGAGACTATCGTTGCTGCAGATGCTTCCATGTCTGGCCTCGTGGCAGTACTTCTACAAATACAAGATGATGGTTCTCGCAGACCTGTCAGCTACATCTCACGAGCTCTGACATATGCAGAAAAGAATTACGCAGCCATCGAGAAGGAAGCCCTAGCAGCAACATGGGCATCAGAACGCTTCAGTGAATACATCCTTGGAAAGCAGTATACGCTGGAGACTGATCACAAACCCTTGGTCCCTCTCCTCTCTACCAAGGAACTCCACAAAATGAAACCAAGGATCCAACGATTCCGTCTGAGGCTGATGCGATTTTCACCAAATGTGCTGCATGTTTCAGGAAAGCATCAGATCACTGCGGACCTAGACGGTCATATAATCAGGCCACCTGCGCGCTACTGACCTAGATTCCTTGTGGGCTTACACACCCGTGTAGTAAGCCCACAACCTTGTAGATCATTAGTAGTAGTGATAAGCCTACGCAGGGTGCGGCGGTCAGTTTGAATTGTTGTTTTCTCATGCTTTGACACTGGATTATTTCTGCCTAATGCAGTTTGCTTTTCAAGTCATCTGGATTATGTGAATATTTTCTACATCATTGTGTGTGTTGAGGAACAGAGGTGGTGACTAATTAATTAATTAATTAAGATTGACCAACAGTCTTGAGATCGCAAATTTGAAGTGCTGTTTGGCTGCACTGTAGGCCTACTGTTCATTTTCAGATTCTTCATCGCCATCGTACTCAGTGAATGCCTGGATTCTTTTAGTTGAGGCCTAATGCAGGTTTTTTTTTCAAATCATCTGGATTGTGTGAATATCAAATCTCTTCCATCAGTGTACGTGTTTAGATTAAACCTACAGTGAAGTTTTGACCGTGCAAGTTTAATTCATATCTGTCTAAATCCATTCTAAAATCCATGTCTACACAGTGGAGCCTGCCCCCCCCCCCCCCCTCCTGACTGATCCGCACACTCTTCACTGACTTAGAGCCTCTCTATGCAAACAACCACTAAAAACGAACTCTCCATCCTATCCCTAGATCTGCTTTTAGATTTAGATTAGTTTGTAACACAAACAATAGACTAAAAGGACCATGTAGATATAAATCTATATATCTAGACTCTGAGCGTCTAGGGGCCCACCCTTGCCCTTGTTAGGTAGGGAAAAGTATACGGATCATAATTATGGGGGAGCTCCTTTGTGTTTTTCCCGACCTGCTTTGTAATATCTGCTGTTCTTTCACAGTGCTTACATGCTTCTCTTCTAGGCCTATTTATTGCTTTCATCATGTGTTGTTATGACTCTGTTGGACTGTGACTGACACCTTCAAAATAAACTGAAGGAATAAGAACAACAATGGGAAGAAAATGTTCTGGCTATGACAGTCAGAAAGGTGCAGAAAAAGTGACCTTGTATGGATTTCCTTCGGATGAAACAGAATGTCGGGCATGGACTGCTAGCTTACCAAACATTTTATCCTGTGAAAAGGTGTCAAAACATATCAGTGTGTGCCCTCCATTTCCGTAAAACTCTAACTCAACTCAAGTCAACTTTCTGTCTTTCCATCGCTTTTGTCTGTCTAGAACTAAACCATTGAGAGAGAGAGAGAGAGAGAGAGAGAGAGAGAGAGAGAGAGAGAGAGAAAGAGAGAAAAGGGGAGAGAGAGAGGGGGGGGAGAGATTGAGAGGGAGAGAGAGAGAGAGAGAGAGAGAGAGAGAGAGAGAGAGAGAGAGAGAGAGAGAGAGAGAGGAGGGAGAGATTGAGAGGGAGAGAGAGAGAGGAGGGAGAGATTGAGAGGGAGAGAGAGAGAGAGAGGGGGGGGGGAGAAAGAGACCGCCAAGCCGTGGCCGTTGTAATCATTATTATCATTACGAAGGTCACTGCTTGCTGTGGGCCGAAGCCTGAGCGGCCGGTGTGTCAGCCCACAAGCAAGGTGTGTAGTTCTTGGGCTGCGCTGCCTGATTTATGATCGCCTAGCTGCGGACGCACTTTCTCGTGCTCCGACAAATCTGCCCTCAGATGCTGAAGCACTCTTCGTTGACGAAGTGGCAGACTTCGCTCAACAGGCTATTGACAGCCTCCCTGCTTCACCACAGAGAATTCAAAATATCATCTCACAGCAGAAGAGCGACCCAGAAACGTCGGAAGTCCGGACATACTGTACCAGAGGCTGGCCAGCATACATGCCTGAAAATCCACTTCTGAAACAGTACTGGACTAATCGTCACCATATCAGCATTGTGGATGATATCCTTTTGTTTGACGATCGTCTCGTCATTCCACGGGATTTGAGAATGGACATTCTCAGTCGACTCCACGAAAGCCATCTTGGCATCACGAAGTGCCGAGCTCTAGCTCAAACTTCAGTCTGGTGGCCCAACATCACCAGTCAGATCGAGGACATGGTGAAGAAGTGCAACACTTGTGCAAAACTTCGACCTGTCCAGAAGGAATCTCTGCTCCCTTCCTCGTTTCCAGACCGACCTTGGTCTCGATTGGCCATGGATCTGTTTGACCTGAAAGGTCAGACCTACGTCGTCGTGGTCGACTATTACTCTCGTTGGGTAGAGCTACGCTTACTCGAACAGCTCAACAGCGTATTCGTTATCAATAAACTCAAGTCCATCTTTGCCACTCATGGCATCCCAGAGACAATCGTGTCCGACAATGGCCCTCAATTTTCAAGCGCCAGCTTCCAAGCTTTTGCAAAAGAGTTTGGTTTCATTCACGTCACCAGCTCTCCGAGATATCCTCAAAGCAATGGAGAGGCAGAAAGAGCAGTGCAAACAGTGAAGCTTCTCCTCAAGAAAGCCAACGACCCGTACACTGCCCTCCTGCTATACCGGGCTACTCCTTTACAAAACGGGTATGCCCCAAGTGAGCTCCTCATGGGAAGGAAACTCCAAACCAAAGTTCCCATTATGCAGGACAACTTACACCCAAGTTATGTTGATCTACCCTCTATTCGTCAAAGGGAGGAGAAGAGGAAAGAGATCATGCGTTTGCAATACAACAAGAGACACGGTGTCAAATCTCTTCCAGAACTTTGCCCCGGTGATTCTGTCCACATTCGAGACCTAGGCCGACCGGGCATCGTTAACAACAGACACCCCAATCCGCGCTCCTACACAGTGACCACTGAAAAAGGGAGCGCCGTCCGCCGCAACAGAAGTCATCTCGTGGCTACCCCAGAGCCTACTACAACACAAGAGCCCGGAGACAACACACCGTCTTCGACACGGCAACCTGATACCCCAAGCCCTGCTCGGGAGTCAGCGCAAACGCCGGCGGCCCTAGCGCAGACACCACGGGTCAGCCGTTACGGCAGAAAAATCAGAGTACCAACGAGACTAGACCTGTGACCCAGTGACTGTGTGACCTATATTTAGCTCTGTGCTTTAAATTCTAATCTAAGTCTCAAGAACTCTTTAATTAAGTGTTGTAAACAAGTGAAACTTATAGAGATCTATTAAAATAGATGATTAAGTACTGGGACAATAACTTCGGGGGGAGATATGGAATAATGTACATCACACAACTCTTCTGTTATAACTGTTAGGTACGTATCGGGATTTAGACAGTACCTTTCTTCTACTCAGTAGTCACTTTTCGGTTACAATGTACTAGAAGACTATAATAAAACCAAAGAGCCTTTTCAGACGTGCGTTTCTTCACTCTCTCTATATCTGTTTGTACCCACAAACCGAACAATATTACAGCCCACGGCTAAATTAAATGTTGACAGCAGGCTAAATTCTTGGATTTCAATATTTTAGATAATTGAGATAGGTTACAAAAGAATCCTACTATCATCGGCAGTTTGGTGGGAATACAAAGACGAAAATACTGTGCAGAACTAGAAATAACAATGGTGTCTCTTGTGCCATTATTGAATGCACAAACCCGCGTAAGAAATTGCAGCTGTCATATTATTGAAGTATTTAGTACGAGTAAACACATTTATAGCTTGCCAACTTCCATCTGTTCATCTAAAAAAACAAAGCAATTCAAGTCTGTTCCTGAGTTATAAAAAAAATTCTAGTTCATTTCTTAGTTTACCAATAGGCATGACATAACTTTATATGACACTCCTCAAATGGACCAGCAACCAAACATTTTTTTTTCTTGAACTAAAAATCCTGATCCAGTAAACTTTCTCTGCAAATTGTGCATTGCATTAAACACCACCCCTAGGTTGCACACCAGGATCAGCACAATATGAATGATTTACAATACCCTAGCCTACAAATTGATCATTTTGAGAAAATAACTATACGGAATTTGTTACCCTTCATAAAAACCCTGACATCACCCACAGAACACCATCTACACGCACCTATAATAAGTCAGTATATGTACGGTATTGTGTTTGCACGTACAGTTCATGACACCACCACTACCACCACCAATTACAGTAACAACAACATTAACAGCAACATCAACAACAACAACGTATTCAAACTAGTGAGCTCAACGCTTCATACTCTATGGAAACTTATTTATAAGCGTGGCCAGGGACGCAGTAGCGTGGCGGTGCAGGTTCTATACCTCTCCAAAAAGGCCGGTCGACAGCGCCGTGGAGTGGGCACAAGCAGCCGCCATTCGTTTACGTGGATGACGTCATAACCACGCACTTCTGGTAATATTTACAACCTCTTTGGCACGGCTAATTCCTGGAATACTCATGTCGAAACCAGTCACAACGGAATCTTCCT